GCGACTGGTCCTCCACGGCCGATCCATCTTTCTGGATAATTTTCGTCCAGCCAGTTTCTAACTATTCTCGAATAATGAGCTGGACAGCCGTCAAGCTGGAACCAGGTCAATCTTCTTAAATCTAACATAACATCATCCCACATATTTGCATGTTCAGCCTTTAAAAATTCCAAGAAGGTCGCAGCATTTAACCTTGCAGGCAAAAGGTAGGGTCCAAATAGTCGATTACGGTAGATACCAATCCACACGTTCACACTAAATTCATGCTGAAAATTTCTTTCCCGAACTGCATGCGGATTTTCATGCGACCAAATATGTTGATTATGAAAATTTACCACTCCACGTCTAGTGAAGCATGACTCATCGGTCCATAAAACGTTACTTAAAATCTCCCTATTATTATCAGTTCTATCAAGAATCCACTGAAAAAATGTGATTCTTCGTTCTCGGTCCCTTGGCTGTAGTCCTTGCACAGGTTGCAAATCGTAAGGACGTCTATGTTCATTTCTAAGAACACGGTGAACATGGCTTGCTGAAATTCCCAAGGCACCAGAAACTCTCCTAACACTTGTGGTCTGATCTCTTCAAACTCACGCATAATCATACGGGTAAATCTGCGCTGACGAACATTTATGTTTTGATCCCTTTGGAGATTTCCAAAACCATTTTCAATTATTTGGCTATGCACTCTTACAAATACTGAGCGAGTTGGATGTCGTCTGTTTGGAAATCTTCGTGCGTATTCTCTGGCTGCTTCTGCTACGTTTCCATTTACAAAGCCATACGCAAAATGAATATCCGCTAACTCTTGATTGGAGAATAAAAATGGCATTTTTATAAAACTTACAAAAAAACAGGTAAAAGAAACTAAATTTCGTACATTCACAATTGCAAAAAAACGTTTCAGGTTTCAACAGACAACAAAACTAACTGTCAACTAATTGACGTTTAACCTTACTCTGCTTTCAATTTCAAAAATATTTGCAGGCACAGCCTACTTCTAAAAATTTTCGAGATACTGACTTTTTAACGTTATTTTATCATAAATAATTACCTTAAAAATCGAAATATCTCAAAAACGGCTAACTATAACGAAAATTCACAAGAGAGCTTTTTTATGTTAAAAAGTGCGACGAATCAGTTTTTTTAATCGAAAAGCAAAAAATTGCACTTAGAAAATTTGTTCGGTCATTTTAATATACTACAGGTACAGTAGAGAGCGCCCTCTAGTGGCTACAGTAAAACTATGCCAATGGTTCGTTTTGTCGTACCAAAAAACCCTTGTATACCAATTTTCACTGTTATACATCAAATATTGTTCGAAATATTTAAAAAAAACTATTTTAGAAAGTAAATTTAAACATCCTGTATTTCGGAAGCCGCGCATTTTTCGACCCATGTTAAGTTATGCAACAATAAACTGAAACACCCTGTATAATGGGCAAATAAGTATGTTTTAATCCACAGAATAACAACGCCTATACATGGATCAGTTATATGCTAAAACGTGTGACATATCAAGGACAAAACAAAAAGTTTGAAGAAACTTATAGAAAAATTATATCAAAGAGGTGTATATGTAGAATAGGTTTTAGTGAATATTTGATACGAGTTCAATAATATGTTGTCTTCCTATTATGCATTTTTTTATAATTATGTGTATATAGAAAATGTTTCAAATCTTTGGGTACCTGTTCATATAATTTTGGAGCCAAATAGAGAAAATGATCCTTCATTATGGTCTTATGAGGTTTAGGGACAGTTTTACATCGTGACAATGTGTGGTTTTATAGTGCTCACTGACAACTTTTGTCATATTGTCAGTATGTAAGAAATAAAGTTGCTGAATATCAAATAATTTTGTTTCGTTGTATAATTTTGTCATTCCGAACATAGCTTTCAAAACAGTTCTCTGTAAAATATCTATATCGTTTAACTACGCTGGACATGCTTTACCCCATGCTAACATGCTATACATTAGGTGCGGCTCAATCAGGGCATAGTACGCATATAATTTTCTGCCAAAATACAGCATAATATTAGAGAAAATACCGATGAAACCAACTCGGTCAGTCGGGCACTAAAGCAAATCGCATCGATCGGCAACCACATGACACTCGCGCTGCCCATGGTCGACCGCGTTGAGGCGACCGTGCTATTATTAATAGAGCGTGTATGGCCTCCTTTATGCGGCATCGCGGACGTACTGGAGGCTGGAGGATGGAGGTTAGAGGAGATGCGGTTTCAAAAGGTAGCAGAGACTATAGGAGTTGGTGTGGGGAGTGCGCATTCGCTACCAGTAGCGGGGTTTAGTTTTAGTTTTACAACCGCTTAGATATATTTCACATGCTTATGATAAACATAATTGTTTAAAAAAACTAAAAAACATGCTTTTATAGCTAAGCGAACTAAAAGGAGAAAATAATTTTTGATTACAAATTAATCGTTTATATTACAGTAGCAGATGGTCCAACAATCAATCAAAATTAATGACCTCATAACAAAATTATAATAAAATTTAAGTTGTTAACAGAATAATTCAATTCAGGGTAAAAAGCGTGGGATGCTTGATATTTAATGTTAAAATCATTTTATTGGCAACTATGTATGAAAGGAGTGTTATGAAAATTATTATGTTAATAACTTAAATTTTATTATAATTTGATTTTGAGATCATTAATTACGATTGATGTTTCGACCTTATACTACTGTAATATAAACTCTTTGTAATTAAAAATTATCTTTTACTTTTTAGTTTGGTTAGCTATAAAAGCGTGTTTTTTTTAGTTATTCTAAACTATTATTTATTTTTCATTTTTTAGTTCAATTTATCAATTAGTGATTTGTGGACATGAGGTATTGAAATCAAAAGCATCAAGAGTTCTAAAAGTAGAGATCCCCATGACATCGACGTTAAAATTATGAAGACCTTAAATAACTTGGTAGTATATCCTTTAACAACATTGATAAATCTGTGTACATAGAAAATAATGTATTTTCAGATTTCTTAAAATTGGCAAAAATTATTACAATGCTGTGAAAATGATCCATGTAATTACAGGCCCATTTCCATAATACCAATTGTAGGAAAAATTTTCGAAATGCTTCTGAAGAATCAGATATGTGAATACTTTGAATCGAATAGTAATAAAAGCCTGTCCTTAATTACGTCCTATTTATCAGACAGAAGACAGTATGTTAGTTTCAAACAGTGTTTGTCTAACACTGTACATATTATCCACAGAGTTACCCAAGAAAGGGTCCTGGAAACCGATTCTTTGTTTGATCTACATCAAAGATCTGCCAGACTGTAGCATGAATTGATGTATATTATTTTCGGATGACACGACATCAATATCCTCCAATCATAATTTTGACCAGGTATTATTCGATTCTCAACAGCATTTTGACAACATACAAAACTTTCTTAATGGTAACAGTTTGTCTCTTAATATAGCGAAAATTCGATCTCTTCTACTCAGTACTCGCCATATAAAGTAATTGAATAGAACCCGTGAAATTCGTTGGAGTGTTTATAGATGCGAACTTGACTTGGGAATCACACGTTACCACATTATCAAAGAAGTTATCTAAAATAACATATGATTTATAGTTTAAATACCTTCTCAGCAAAATCGACTCTGATGATAGCCTATTATGTCTACTTCCTACTGCATACAAATTTGGGGAGAGTCAACTCATGTATCGACGGTGTTTGCTGTTCAGAGACGATGCTTGAGAATAATAGCAAACTTACATTTCAGACAGTGTTGCAAGATGACATTTATTGAACTAAAAATTTCATCTATATCATGCATACATATATTCATATATACTGGAATTTCTGATCCATGTTAAAAATTATTATGATGACTATAGAACTCCAAAAGAGATTCACAAATACAACACAAGGTTCAATAATAAATTACTACCAGAATACACAAGACTATCCAAAACTAGACATGGAAGTAATTATTTCGGTGTAAAATTCTTGCCCAGGTTTTGTCAAACACTCAACCAAACCATAATTAAATAAACTGTGAAAAGATATATAGTGACGAAAGCTTTCAACGGCATGGACGAGTTCTTAAATAATTATATTACCGACTTTGTTCCATAATTGTTTTCTATTTGTTTTATTATTTTGTGTGTTTTTTTAAATTTATTTTATGTTCTTTAAGTGTATGTGTTATTTCTTGGTATTGCTTTTCTCAGCCTGTTTAAGCACTTTTGTGTACAAACACGAATAAATTATTATTAGAATGTACCTCCTGTTCTATTCTTCAGCTGTTGGAGCCTGGATTCATGTACTTATAGATCTTTTGTTATAAAGAAGCCCTTTCTTTTTTCTGCTGTGCATGCAACAATCTTTTCGGGCTGAATTTAGATGGATTTGAGTAAGAATGGTAAATGTATGTTTCACAAATTGCTGCTGCAAAATTCACTTAATAACTGCCTCTTACGTGATCACCACCCATATTCGTTTGATCATATAAAAAGTGCCGATACTGAAATGCATCTCAACATCAAACAGTGTTTATGCATCCATTCTACACACCATTTAGTGCAGCTACTACAAAGATGCCCTGCCCTACTCACAGCAGGACCACAACAATACACATTTATCGACAAGTTCTACAACGTGGAAGTCATAAATCGTTCCGCAACTAAAAAAAAATAGAGTCGAGTAGGTTGCTCTGCACTTCGTAAGTACCTAACGCACTCATCAATTCATATATTATGACCAGGCACATGTTGGCCCAGCCCCTCTTAGAAAAAAGTTAACTACGAACATGTAACATGGTGCAAAAGAATGAAATAGATCGTCGCATATTGGTCTAGAACACCGAAAAGCTGGCAAAAATGCAGTTTCTACGGCATTTTTTGAATCCACAAAATTCACCTCCAAATGACCTCTGAGGTCTCGACAAATTGCCTTTTCCAAAAAAAGTTTACTTTCAAAAGCATTTTGTCACGTCTATGTACAATGAATCCAATTATCAGGCCAACCTGTCGCCACACATCTGCATCGGAAAGCAATTAGTCCCTCGCTGGTAGACTGGAGGTACATTATTTTCCGGCCATTTCCCTACCAAGAATTATCATTTATACATATTAACCTAGATCCAGACCAAGCGCCAACGACAGATTGAACTAAATTGACTCATTATTGTTGGGGCTTTCACTGAAAAATGGAGAAGGTCAAAGGTGGATTTACGGTAATAGGATGCAGAAAAGCATAGGCGGCGCTGTAATAACAAGAGGAATAATGCACAAAACAGTCATTCAGGAAAAATGAAGTATATGCCCTATGAGTACTACAGATTTATCTGCCAGCCTTGTCTGGCAAATAAAACTTCATGTATTGACAAATCTCATATATACCTTTTGAATGCCTTACAAATATATTTTAAAGGATGTGGTTTCAATGCTGATGCTACTCTGATGAATTCTAGAGTGAAAACATATGCCTAGTAGATTTTATAATTTAAAAAAAAACAGACAAAAATTACCTGAATACAATAAACTATAGCAATATATATCTACTAATTTCTTGGAAAAGTAAATCAATTTCAGGAAAAAGGAAGTCTTTTTTACACAGAATCAGCCGCGCAGGCAGAAGCCTAACTGCCAGGGCGCAACGGCTGCTATTAGGAGCTTAAATAAACTTTGTTAACCAGATTTTTTAACTGCCTAAGGCTAGTAGAACTGACAAAAGCCTCCTCATGTAGATTGCTCCACAATTTCGATATCCTAATGGCAAAGGAGCGGTCGTATCGGCCGCATTTTCGTTAATACCCGACGCGTTATATCCCCGAAGTAGCTTCATATATGTTATACCAGACGTATCAGCCTTATGTACCCGACGCGTTATCCACTCGGAGTAGCTTCATTCCTATAGGTATTATATCTGACTTGTCAGACTCTTTCATTATTAATTTACTAGTATAACAAAATGGTTATTTATTTGTTCCTTTATATTTTTTTACCATAATCTTTACAACGGGAATACCCTACGTTACTGTGGCGAAATATTAGTAGATTTGCGGTAATAAAATCCAAATGAAAAAAAATTAGGCACCATTTTTTCGTAGTACCTACTAGTAGTAAGTACTCGCTTCAGAAATTCTGGAAGTAAGTTGTTTAGATAGGTGAAATATGCAATGAGTGCAAGTTCATGATTGATAGCAGATTGCAAGCTGTGCTTCGTATACTTCAGAATCAGTGAAATAGGTGAAACAGCAGCTGAACAACAAAATAAAAGAAAATAAGTTGATAAAATAAAAAAGTATATTTTTATTTAAATAAACGAACCATTTTACATCATAAAATATTTTCACATAAAAATTCAATCAAAACCAACATTAGAGCTATAAACAACATAACCTGTCATAAGTAATTTTTTATTCTTAACCCCTTAATTTTGACAATGTTTTCAAAATACATTTGAACCAAATATATTAGAGCTGAATGAAATTATACATTTTGATTATAAATTTGTAATTCATCTAGTTAATTATGTCAATTTCTAAGTTATAGGTTAAAAAACGTTAAAAACTTTGACAACATATTTACTTATCTCGACATCTTTCTTCGACTTAAATTTGGTCATCATACATTGAATATGATTGTCAATAATAATTATTGTTTTATATTGATAGTTTTCTGGTAGGTCACTTAAACCACGCATATTTTCTTCTATTTACTATCTAGACTTCGAAAAGCAGTTCACATACTTGAATTTCAGAATGAATCAGATGATTAAGATACAAGAGATAAATACCTGATATATCATCACGATACGCCAGGTATTTACCGAACGCTCGAGCGCAGCGAAATATATCGAATAGATAACGCGTCGGGTATTCACGAATATGCGTATCAGCCAGTTCTGGATGTACGAACCTCGAAGAGCAAAGCCCGATCGCGAGACTGTCCGTTAGAGAAGAGTTCTAGGTTAGTCGGACCATCAAAAACTCAAATATATTCTAAATATCACTAACAGTAGCTTAAATAACCCAGTGCAAATCACTCCACCGTGTACCAGGCCGAGTACTCGGCCGAGTGCTAGGTACCCGGTATTCAAATCTGACCGAATACTCGGTAATAGAGTTGTTGATTGTCGTTACTTTCGAGTATTCGTTACTTATCGTTTCTCTTTTACATAGTAATTATTTATTGTATTCATTACTTTGCTTACTTTGATTACTATGACTAGTATGAGTATAACGATTTGGCAACGTGCGTCGTGTAATTAATGTCGAATTTGAACAGCTTCAATGGAACGACTATATGATGCTTTAGTTTGGTAAGTTGTCTTGTAAGAAGATAAACAACCTTTTTGACCATAACTTATTTGAATCTGCCGTGCTTAATCCAAAATCGTATCATCAAATTTTATGCAAAACGAAAACGGTTATTATAGGATATAGTCAAAATCACGAAAGATGACTATTACGTCATACCATAAATTGTACAATGGACGTACGTCGATGATAAAATCACGATGTAAGGAACATATTGACAACAAATTTATTTATGATTTTGCGAAGTTTGGTTATTTCACTTTATTCCATGGTTTTGAGTGATACCTTAGTAATAATTTTAGTGGGGAGTTTTTGTTTTGAAAAGAACAGTTATGAGTAGAATACCTTAAGATAGGAACACTAAAAACCAAAGTATTATTCGAAAACAACCTAACCTGCTTTAGCATAACACAACTATTCATCTTTCAAATATGATCGATCATGCAACATGAAAATATCGTCTATCTTTGTGGGATACATGCAAATTAGCAATACAGTTAGTTTAGACAATAAAATTCTGTTTGTCTCTGTTTAACATATCTGAAACTTGATTACAAATATTCACAAGTCGCTGTCGTTTGTCTTTATTACAGACTAAAATGATGACGTAATCGTCATCTTTCGAGATTTCGACTATAAGATGTCACATGGCTCATATGTGACCAAGAACTGAAAATACTTTATATCTACTAGAAATGCTTAAAAAGCATGTCTTTTAGTTATAAAGTTGATAGGTAGGTATATGGGGTTAAGGAAATTCGGAATGGTAACTTTTTGAAGCTATGGGCAATTGGGCATTTCAATTAAGCAAATACCAGTATAAAAAACTCTATGAGCAGCTTAGCCTACACATACCACCCGCATGTGGGATGTCTGGCAACCCTGATGCATGACCGGAGGTGCTACAGTGATGCCTAAGATGTCAGAAATCAGCGTTGTCACTCAACGATCACCGATTCTACACTTACGGGTACGGAAAACTTAGTAATTGAAGTAATCATTTGATACTCGGATTGTTGCTCGTTACTTCGGATATCTATGAGTAACACGTACTCGAGTATCGAATAGTTACTTTTTCAACACCTGCATCTTTAGGTATTTATACAAAAAACTGAATCAAGCCTGCTGTCAACTATATGTTGCGTGTATAGCCGCCAATAATTTTTTTTTCGGTCGACATACCACATACCCGAACCAATCTACCCGCTATTATGTACGAAAAGAACAGATCAGGTGTAGATATTTAATATCATGTGGAGATTATGGAAAGCTTCACTATGACTTAAATTCTACTTGAAGAATGAAATTACTCACCTCCATCTCTTCCAAATTTCCTTTTCTTCTTGGACGTCCCCATGGTAGAGTTCTGCTTCTGACTGGACCCCTTCTCGCATTTCTCCTTGTCTTTGTCTTTATTTTTCCACCGAATCAACATTTTCTATTTTGTTACTATTTTAACACAAGTGCTTTTACTTTTTTAAAGCGTGTTACACACTGCATAGGCATTACATTGAGCACAATAAATGGTTACTGAGTTTTTCATTTCTATGAGCTTATATTATGTATAAAAATTAGTTACATGTTAACATTCTACACTATTTACAATATGTTAATCATTCGACAATGGAATGTGTTTGTTATTTCAATAATGTCAAATTCCTTAGTCAATATACTTATTATGTTTGCTTGTTTGGTAATCGTATGCTTCTTACTTGTTGCTAGGACTATAGATAATTATATAAAGTTTATTTCTGTTGAATGAAGTTTGGTGTTATCCATGTTTGAGACCTGTAACAAAAAGGCATAAGAAATTAGAATAACGGATAAATTCATGAACCGAATCAGCCTCAAACAATATATCTGGGAAAATCACGATACTAGTGATATTCATTTTGTCAAAAGAATATATTGTGATGCGTGCATTGTAAAATTGTCAGTCAAGTTTCTAGGTAACGACGTGCTTCTATATATTTCTAACACAGTATTACATGCTTCTCGCTTACACATTACGACGTTAGTGGTATATGGATTTCACTGTATATGCAACGCCAGTAAACGAGATTATAGTTTATTGTTTTCAACAAACTAGGAATAATTCTAATAGAACATTCTGGAAACAGAATGCACCCAATATTCAAATTGACAAGAGCGTTATCAGTCATGAGGACTAATACGCATGCATCATCTTTTTAGATCTATGAAATGTCAATCGGTTTCGTGTTGGCGTACGAATTGATACTCAGCTTGAAAACACTCTTCTTACTATGCTGATGAAACTGGAACTTCAAGGCAAGTATAGCTAATTTAGGGTAATCTATACTGTGACATTAGAAAAAATTATTTCTTCAACTTGTTTTTCTTAGCAACATAATGTATTTAAAGCATGCTGTGGCAACAATGTCAACGTTTCTGAGAGCTGAGTAGTACAGATATTTTTAGTTATTGTCTTTTGATTTACTAGTGTTAAGCATAACAAAATGCCTCCAGTTCGAAGAGGGTAGAGGTACACGAAGAAGGCCAACTCGTCCACCCAGGGGTACCACAAACGTATACAGGGGTGTATTCAGCTGCGGGGTCGACCAACACGTTATTATTTTTTTTCTTATTACTTGGCAATAAAATTTCGTGAGAATGTTATCGTTTCATTCTTGATGTAAGGCCACCTGATTTGCCAAAAAATCAAGTTGAAGAAATTATTTTTTCTGCGTGTAACACTCCTAATGTCACTGAGTATATTTCAACCGCATTCCAAAATACAAGAATTTTTATTGCATTCCAAAATCCGCAAAATGCGCGTCGATGGCCACATATTTCGATACGTCAGAAGTTAGTTTGCCTGATTTCAAACAACACGTAACAGGATTGAATAACGTTAATGCAGACACGTTATTCGTTGGAATATTGTGTTTCATGTTTGAACTAAATAACTAGGATTCATCAATTTTCTTGTTTTTAGCATCCTCAACCATATTGTTTTTTAGTTGCTTACTTATGCTATTCTATATATTGTCTTCGTCATAGTTTACATATTATACGCTTGTCAATATATTTTTTACATTGAAACGTAGATAATGACTACTGGAAGCTTAATTGATACTCTTACACTAATTTATTACCACACTTGCAACTAATTTATGACAAATTTTAAACCATATCGACTGTTTCCGCTAAGTGTTCGGGTATTTCTCTTCAATCGATGAATTCCAGCAGCTCCAATCCAACCATCTGGTCAGAGGTTAAGCATTCTAAGATGTCCGTTTTTAAAGCGTCGATGATAAAGCTTTTAGAGAGATTATGCACAATTTTATAACAGATATCGCAATCAAGGGCGTACCCTTCAAAAAAGTTATTGGTGGAAGTTCCATAAATCATATCAACGTAACTACGCTCGATATTTTTCTTTCTATTTGCGTTTCATTTATATAGAGTCTTCCACGACGACTTGACAGGTCATACGGATCATGAAAACTACTAGAATTAATTTTTTGAAACATTCAAGCAAATGTTGCGCGAGATGCTTTTTTAAGTAATAATTTTCTCGTTTACAATACTTGAAAGCAGCACTTGAGATAATACATGACAAATGTTTGCTATACTGCAAAATTGTATATGTATATCTGTTTTTTGGGCGTACATTTCCCTCAAAATTCAATCAGGGTGCTGGTACATTTTTTGTCCCTCTATTACAGACAAAATAATATCTACTTATATTTTTTGTTATCTGGTCCTCTTGCGATAGAAAAATCTTAAAAAAAACTAGTTAATCATTGGACCTTTTACTTATAACTTGTAAAGTATGACTAAAAAATCTATAACTTCCCCAAACTTGACTTTACCTTTTTTTCCTTTTTGATGATTTTGAACACAATCTGAAATTTCCTATAAGGAGACAGAATTCAAAAAGAAGTCAAACTTTGTAAATATATTTAAAGAGGTTTTCAAAGATTGTGAAATCCGGCAAAACTCGTCTATTAAATTCTAATCATCCGATCACTTTTTTATAACTCCAGACACAACACGAGATGTGCAATTCTAAAGTACGTGGAGTGGAATCTGCGTGACAACGTATTATCTAAAAATGTCAATACTAAAACTATTTTATCAAACGTGTTGTTGTTGTAAGTCTAAAGAAGACGTGGAAAGGCAAGAAAACACCTTCAAAATGGTGTTGCAACAGTTAGTCTGTTATTGCAAAAAATCGTTCATTTTTTGTCGAAAAGTGCATAAGAGTAAATATTAAATAGTAGCCAAAACTTAAAGCCTTTGAAGTGACTAACATCGACAAAATCTTCAAACATGCTTAAGCTATACAGCGGCGTAACTGCTGCAACAAATTAGACATACAGGGTGAGTTTTATTTATCTAATTACATAGTATCTCCATTACTATAAAACATAATCTAAAATGTTACTTCCAAAAATTGTGGACTATACGCTTCCTACTTTGAATATATTAGACTGGATTTCAGTGGTTGATGCATAACCATAAGCGAGATCCCAAAGGCGGAGTTTGAATTTGAAAGTCGCCTAACATATAGAGTGCTTTTAGCAAAATTATATTTATATCTAACAATCTTGTAATAGATACTGATTCCAGCCTGTACGTTAATAATGTAATTTTTATAAAAAATGTCCTCTACATTTAATTTTTGTCGAGCTAGGGAAAAGGGGGTAGTTGTCCCCAATGGGTACGCCCTTGATCGGAAGACTTTTAGAAGGAAACAAGTTGCTCTAACGATAAAAATATCGATCTTGTTCATCGTTTGCGAATGTATTATTAACGTTACTACATTTAGGTAGCTCTGTGGTACCAGAGTACTAAGCAGTTTCCTTGTTTCAACTTTTCGCATAGTAAGCCTTGTAAATGAACACAGGATTACAGATCGATTACTATACATAAATTATTATATAAGTGCAGGTAGAGTTATATTATTCATAATGTATCGAAGACAAAAAAAATCTATCATGAAGGAAATTGATGAGGACATTATGTTCTGGAAGGGAATCTGCCTTCAATTCTTGGCAGTGTCTCTCCTTCTACTGAAGTTGCTATCTTTGTAGACATTTCAAAGTTGCAGTTGCAGAATTTCAAGCAACATCTTTTCGACTTGTGGATCGTTTTTTCCAAAGGACGTGAGAGGCAGATCTAAGATAAGACACACGATGCACTGTCGTCGGGTCCTAGGACTCAAAGGGACATCGTAATGCAGAGTAAACAAAATGTATATTCCCAAGATCATGTTGTTAAAGTACTCAAGCCTTTTTCCCGCAGGATAGAGATACCAAATACCGAGATATATTTGGATGTAAACTAGAAGTTCATCTTTCATCATCAACATTACTATTTTTCTATGTTTGGACAGTGCTATCAGATTTGTGATCATGCTTGGTGTACGGCGCCAATGCTTATTTTTCATTTTTGCATTATCTGATGATGGCCGGATGCAGATGAAAAAAAGTTTATGTAGCTGAAATGAGTGATTTATGACGTATTTCTTGATTTAGGGGCCCATCACAAATCGTATAATTTTTTTCTAGTTCAAGAGACATTTTACAAGAAATCGAGCCTATCCATTAGATCCATTATTTGTCATCTACGTGCGAGTTAAGACCAACTATAGGAATATTACTTCACTTTTTTAGACATTTGAGGTTCTAGAGTATCAATGTATGTCATGTTTTGTACAATATCACATCATTAAAACAAGAAGTAGGGACTGACTACCTATTAGCAGCTCATAAAAACTAAAGGAAAGCTTGTCTCATGATATTAAACAAACGACGATCTGATAGTTTCTAGGCCTACTTAGCAAATTTTGTTTCTTTTTATTTGAAATAATTAAGAGCTGGCACTGTCAACATATTACATTTTTTTATCAGAATTAAAGGCTTTATTTACCTGTACAAAAATTAAATAAGGAAATAAGTTGATGACTGAGGACAAGAGATGAAACATCATTATTGTAATTCTACTTATGTCATTTTCAAATAAAGTCAGAAAAAATAAAACGATTTTGTGAAAATTGAATTTTTTCCGTATATGTCCGGAAATATTCCGAATGGTGACACTTTCTTGGTATCATTTTCTTAGTTACCTGAATGCGCAACTTTGCCCCCGATTAACCGACATCGTATCTGTTACCGTTTCCGAGATCCGAATGGTGAGTCGAATTTGAAACACCTATTAGCTGTTGGTATAGTCTTACGAATCATAACAGATCTGCAAGTTGTGATTTGACAATTTCTTCTTATGTTTGAAGTTGCTTTGGAAATTAGAAGAGGCATTGATTAACGTATTCTAACTAAAGATAGCCAGCCTACGAGCCGTTTTACACACAAGAGATTTGCTCCGAAAATTATGGTCATAATTTTGCCGAAAATTTTTGCTGTCGTATTACATGTAAAAGAATTCTTGTGAAAATTTTCATGGTAGAAATATAAAACCCGTTCTATAGAATATGCGCGAGAATCGGCGCAGAGGGTTATTTCCGTGCATGTCATTATCAAGTGTCAAAGTCAACTACATAACCTCACTTAACATTTGTGGGTGTGGTCCTGTTCGAGCCGTACGAAGAAGCGTTTATTGTTATTGTTTATTCATAATGTCGTGGAATCGGAAAGAAGTTACTTACACTGTTGTTGGAGGAGTACCAAAAATGGCCAAACCTGTACGAGGTGAAGTCACCCAATTACAAAAACAGAAATTTGCGGCGACAGGCGCTGGATGCGATAGTCCAAGCATTGAGAAGTTTTATAATATTAAGCAAGATCTCGATTTCAAAAATAAATTCAAATCAACGACGTCTGTTGTCTTTCCGATTATATTGGACGTCATACCCGTTAAGGTTATGTCCATTCGAAAATATTACTCTAATCCGCAGGCGTATCATATGAATTACTCCGAAATTTTGTTTGCTTGTGTCATACAGGTTGTAGAGAAAATCTTCAATATTTTTCCATGCAAATTTTCGGCATAATTATAAAACGGCTCTAATTCTGTATTCGCACGTCCGAAAAATTATCTGAGATAAAATGAGATACCGGCGTCAACTATGAAAATATGCCGCAACCTACTTTGAAAAGGTTAGAGTCACGTGGATGGAATTGTAGGTTGTGCTAATATATTGGCTAAGGCGCCATATACGAAACACTAACCTTTTCAAAGTATGTTTATAATTACTGCGGAGAAGAGAAACACAGCTGTAACAACTTTTTATGGGTGACGCTAGGGCATCTCATTTCATCTCGCATAAGTTTTTGGTCACGTAGTAGGTTGGCTAACTTCAGGTAGAATACATTAATCAGTGGTAGATGTTGAGAAAGTGTGCTTAGTTACCAAATTTGTAAATTGTGTTTTACTCATTCACAAAGATCGCTAAAAGGCACAGTGCTCTAGAGCGCAATGTGAAAGCTTTAATTTTTGATAGCGTTTCTTCTTCTATTGATGTTACTATGTTTGCAGACCTTTGAGAGTCGTGCTGAATTCTTACCACGTCTTTTCAAGCTTGTATGCTTGTAGATTATTTTCTATACAAATATTCTCCGAGCATTTTGACATTTGCAAGTAAAAATACAACACAAATAAACAGCAGAATCTCCTGTTGGGTATGTGATACCCATAATATGTATATGGCCATGCTAAGTATGCCAAAACAAAAACCAATGCATCTAATTTTGCATATTAGGCAGCCCTTTCTCAGCAAAATATCATAGAGCGGACCACGAGTATCTCAGAAGCATAAATATAATAATAATAATAAATGTCTTTATTAGCAACACAACAATAGGGCGAAGTTTAGCGAGTTGGCTATCTTACACCCAACCTTATTGTGTGCTTAAATATGTATGTACAATACAAAGTAATACATGCTACCTAAAAATAAATATATCGATCTGGCTTTCAACTAAGAGAACTAATAATAAAGAAAAAAAAACACAAACAGTTGATAAATCCGGGCTATATTGGTTTGCCAAAAAGGAAACAGTCAAGAACCAATACAGAACGGATGACAACACAAAAAAAACATAAATATAATAACAACTAATTATAATACATCTAACAACTGATTTTTAACCAGCTTCCTGAATGATACCACACTTTTGCTTCTCCAGGCAGGGTCGATTGAGTTGTACTCGTATAACCTCACAGCATTTAAAGTGAAACATTTCATCGAAGATTAATGATTCCTCTAGTTACCAATTTACTATGGAGGTAGATGGGCTTTTTAGTACACAATATCTTATGCACAAATACCTTGAGACTATATTCAAATTGTTGATCCATTTTCAGCCATTTCAACTCCTTGATCTTAGAGGAGACATGACTATATTTTCGAAGACCATACACAAACCTACAGCAGTTGTTTTGCATTCTTTGGATCCTACACCAATTCATCGAGTCAAGACAAGGATAGTATAAAGTTAAAGCGTAGTTGAGGCTGGACATTATTAAACTTTCTACTAGCATATAGCAGTCTTAATTTGATGTAGGTGGACTTCGATAGATGACACACATGTTTGTCAAATCTTAAACTAGAGTCGAAGATGACACCAAGATTTTTTGCTTGTTCTACAATAGGAATGAACTCGTTGTTGATGCTCAATGCAATTCTGTCGCTTACTATATTATGCAAATGTTTAGGATAAAAAAGTATGCAAGTACTCTTATCCGGATTAATCTGCAACATATGTCTTTTTTTTACAAAAATCAGTGATGTTGGCAAGATCACAATTTATCTTATATGACACTTCATCCAGATGAGACAGAACAGAAAATGAGACACCTCTAACTGTATTCACCTTTTGTTTACGATTAGTTAAGTAATATTCAAAAAATATAGGCGGAATGTCAGAAAGTCCAATATACTTTAACTTACTCAACAGAATTTTATGGTTAACAGTGTCGAACGCCTTAGAGAAGTCGGTCATAACTAAATTTGTATTAATATGGTTATCCATATTATTTAAGATATTGTCTGTCAAATGGAAAAGTGAAGAAGTTGTACTGTGTCCAGCACGAAATCCAGACTGATGAACAGGAAGTAAATTGTTCATCTCTAAATATTCAATTAGTTGGAGATAAACAGCTTTTTCTAATATCTTTGAAAAGAAACACAGTATGCTGATGGGTCGTGAATGATCAAGAGTTATGGGATTTTTCACTTTGACTTGAGGAAGAATTATTGCTACTTTCCAGACACTAGGAGAGCTCCCAGTTTCCAAACATATATTAACAATATGTGTTAGATACTGAAGTACTTCAGGTAAACAAAGACCAGAACACTCACAGGTCTGAACACAGATAATGTTAAAGTAGCATCGAATAAATTCTAAATATAGGTCGAACTGAGAATCCAAAAAATGAGTAGGTGTATGAATTCATAAAAAGTCTCCGCTTGTCTATTCTGGAACTTTAAACTCATCAAACAAATTCGCTGGGGTGATCAAGATGTCTAATTTTAGATCCCACGATGTTACGTTTATTCATTAATGGTATATTTTCTTACGTATTCTCTGAAAATGTCTACAAAACCTATAAGTTTGTCACACGCGAAGTCTTTTAAAGAGTTTTGAATTACTTGATGAAGCGAATGACCTTTTGTTCTATTTTCTGTGCAACTAACTCATCAATAATTACTCCAAAATGACGGCTTTAATTTTTTTATCGAGGCTAAAGCTGTTAAAGCTCCAGAGAGATGATGCACTATTTTCGGAAGGAAGCTAGAAATTGCATTAACGTTAGCATATCGATCTTGTTCATTGTTTAAGAATTTTTATCAGGAAATCTGCTATATTTAGCCAGAGAGGTGGTTCCAAAACACTAAATAGCTGCCCTGTTTGAACGTTTGGCATCGAGTAAACGCTGTAAATGGAGTTCAGAGATGCTGATCAATGACTATACATGAATTACGTATAAAGCTGTAGATAATTTTCTACGATACATAACAGGTCTAAGACAGGAGGATCTATTTCCATTATAAAAACATTGATAGTGACGTAGCGTTCTAGAACGAGCTGTGTGAGCTAAAACTTAATAATTTTCGTTATGATTGAAGTTACTTTTCATATTAATAGATGTTAAACGAATGTGCTTGATTTTCATTTTCATACAACGTGCTTTTATTTAAAATTCCGCATCCTCATTAGATCCTTAGAAACAGCGGTTTTGTAGATCGAAATAACGTACAAGCTTTATTTTTTGATGCTGTTTCTTCTTCTGTTGATGTTGCTTTTGGTATGTAGATACACGACTATTATGCTAAATTATTAATTCCTTTCTTGGAGCTAATAAATTGTATTTTTATCAAGTATACTCAAAGATCGTTAACGCGCAATACCATTTTGACAGTTGCTGTAAAAGTAGGTGTGTACAACAACACAAATAAACAGCAGAATCTGCAATGTTGTGTGTGTGCCTGTAGTGTCCTATTTAGCCATGCTGCTCAGTGCCAAAACAAAAAACCATAAAAGCCACTTAAAGTAACATTGCTCTAACTTGCATCTTGCAACCTTTTACTTACTAGGGAGGTATTCCACTGCAGAATACCTAGAGGGTAGCACGATATCGACGAAATACAAAAATAGGCCTGTGTTAGACGCGGATGAGAACTGTGCAGCTGTAATTGTTTGAGGTATTGAGGTGGTGGGATTGAGGGTGCAGCTTAATGTTGACCGGGCCTCGTTGTGAGGAGGTGTGCAGCATCTCTGGCTGTGACGTAACGTGTGCTGAGGGCGGGATGAGATCGATAGCAGCGCTGCTGTCACGTAGCGGCGGAACGCGCAATTAAAATAGGGGCGGAGGGGGTGAACGCCCTAGCGCTGGGAGTGGAGAGTGAACACAGGACCGGAGCCAGGATAAAATTCGGCAAAGTATGGCCACGGAGTTGGTACTTTTTTGAGAGATAAATGTTTTTTGCCATTGATAAAGTTCATTACTCGTTTCTTTGTTTTTAGTATCTTTAAAAAAAATATGTAGATGTTTGAACAAATCAGTTAACTGTTGGTTAGGTACAGGGGCGGCTGGCCCTTAAGTTCTGCAGAGTTGCAGAACTGCCAAAACTTTTGTCTTAACAGAAAAAAGCAGTAGTTATTTGGTCATTATTCATTTTCCATGTTATCACACAAATAGAAACAATACCGGCCTGCCCCCGCAAGACACGGCGTCGAGTCTGTTTTGTACTAAGAAAGCATTACAATCGACCAATTATGTACTTGTCATTTTCGTCGCGACCGCAACGTAACATTATTCATGGGCCACTTGAAAAGGGTCTGTGCACTACCTCGACACAAGCCTCACGCGCTTGCTTTTGTCTCTCTCTCTACAAAATCAAATGCGCGATTTAAGCATAACCATGTGCTGCAATTTATACAGATCCGTACAGATCTAATGCGGAGTACGATATCTGATTGGTCGGTCGGTGCTCGGTCCTCGGCATTGGCATATTGGTCTTGTCGCGTGACGTGGCTTAAAATTTGAATGCGAACAATTTTTTCTTTAGGTATTTTGGGTCTTACGTTAAGTCACTAGTGACTCACTGACTGACTGTGGCTGTGTAGAAGGGTAGTGCAAGACAATGGATGTGGTTTACAGACTTATCAGCGTGAAACGATTCTGAAAACACATTTGAAGAAACAATTGAGCTGAAGGTGTGAGGTCGACCGCTGCCGGATATATTTATAGAAACACGGGGCGTTAATCGGGGCAAGGGCTATACGCGGCATTTCAGCAGTGAAATTTACACCAGAAATGACTGGATTTGTGGGTGCAACAAGAAGAATGCCCTTTTCTGCTTTCCTTGCATACTTTTCGGCGGTGAAAAAGCTTGGACGGAGGTAGATGTTACAGATTTAGTGCACCTGAGTGAAAAAATTAAGAAGCATGAAAACTCTAAAATTATAATTATAAATTATAATAATTCGATGGAATTGGCTTTATTGGGGACTGTTAACATCAGAGCTCAGTTAGATTCAGCATATTGGAGAAACATACAACAGCATAATAATCAAATCCAAGCGAATAACCCAAATTTCTGTGTTATGTGCCGCGGTTATAATATGGTTCAAGATGACACACGGGTTGATGACGTCAGTTACACGAATCGCTTGAACGCGTTGGTTTTAACCGCTGTTTTGTTGCTAGTTGTTTATTTTAGAAAAGCGCGTATATAATCTCTGGTTATTTTTATTATAACTTAATAATCGATGCTTTTTCGTCTACAACTGTGTATGGAAAGTTTAAATAAGAAACCTTTCATAATATTCATGGGAGAAATGTTTTTTCAGATTTTTTTTTTCATGATGGAACCATGGCTGTGTAGCTATGATAACTTTCAATTTTCTAAATTTTTCCGCATGTCAAAGAAAACATTTATTGATTCAGCAGAAATGATGAAAAAAGAAATTAGCAAAACCGTATACAGGTGGATATTATCTAGTGATTTTATATGGCTATATTTTAATATTCTTGTGGTATATGGCTACACAGGATACTTTGTAAAGCATAGGAACTACATTTAAAGTGTCCCCAACAACCGTAATGAGTATAACTACTAAGGAGCTCCACTTTATGGTAAAACTGAAGTCAGCCTCTATCAATTTTCTCAAAAATGAAGCTGAAGTACAATAACAATATCCAATACCCGGCAAAATTCTAACTTGTCACATTTCAAACAATAACCAGAAATATAAAACTACTCTTGAGTTGGGTAAATACCACAATTTTGCGGTGATAACTATGACGTATAACAGCTGATTCGCGACGTCACGGATCTTATAACCAAACTGATAACTACACTCGCTTGAACGGATCGGTAAATACCAACCCAAAATGGTAAATACCATTTCCATTTGGTTATCCGCTTGAATTTGATTCATGATACCGTTACAAAAAACAGGTACGTTCTGTCAAAAATAATCGATAGTAATATAAAATTTTGCGGAACATTTGAATTGGCGCTAAGGGGCCACGACGAGAGCTCCCAAAACCCGGGAATATTTCGTGGACTGATTAATTTTTCTGCTAAGCTTGATACAACCTTAAGCGAACACATCAAAAAATAATAACAATCTCAATCAGCTATGGAACTCTCCTGTCACTGTCAAAAACGGTCACCATTTCGGCGGAGAAAGTCGAATGTAAATTCCCCCAGTACAACGATGAAAGAGGTTTCAGAGCTCAGCAGCAGCCGATGTTGCCACGTACCCTGCCAGCGGCCACAGATAGTATTTGCAATTGAAAAAATTATACTAATCCAATATGATCTGGTGTAGTTTGTGTGAACCAATAATAAAAAGAAATATGTTTGTTCAAAAAGAAGCAACGAAGTATTGATTAATTTATGATTCATGAAAAAGTTTTACAATAAATTCGTATTAGTTGTAGTATTTACAATAAACATACATATATTTACTTTTGCCATGCATTCTTTGCTGCTGCGATATCCTCAACCCATGCCATTTTCAATGTAAACACTGTCAAAACACCGCAATTAAACCTGACACTTCTGACAACTCCTCAGCTCGAATGCTTCTACATACACGGTGAGTTTTTAATGTGTAAGCGGTCGGTAGTTCCGAAATTTCAAATACCTAGAAAATTTAGTTATAGAAATTGTAGGCAAATACGCTCCTTACTTGGAAAATATGCTGCTTTCCACAAGGTGATTCATACATACATGACAACACATACATTTTTTTAAATGAAAAATGTGTTATTTAAATGTTCATGTGCTCTCACCTTTCCGACAGTGACATCGAAATTCTTGAGTGAAGGTTGTATTTGTCTGGTGTTTTTAGCACTGCTCATATTGAAAATGCAATCTATTGATTATATCGTAGCAGCGTAGAATACATAGCAAAAATATTGTTTTTCCGTTTATTGCAAATGCTTTCACAGTTAGAAATTCATTTTGAAGCTTTTTCATAAATAAATAACCATCCGTCGCTTCTTTTTGGAACAACCAATGACACACAAACTCGAGTGGCTACCAGTTTTCTGCGGTGTTGTCACATCTTGTTCAAAATCAACAACTGCCATCACGCAATCGATTGATGATAGCACGGAGCAGTGCACATATAATCGTAAAATGTTATACGTGGTGATAACTAAATAAGAAGTATTAATTTGTCTTCAATATGTTGTATTTTCAAATAGAGGAACTCATGTGTATGTACAGTCATGAATTTTGCACCGAAAAGAAAGTCTTTGGTTTCAGTACCCTGATATATTCCATATTATAATGTTTCCACTAACTGACGCAGTGCCACCATAGCTTCAAACCTACCAACTTTACGGAACTCACAAAAATTAAAACAAATAATTTAAAAAAAAGAAACATCACATCGATTTCCGAAAACGTCTTGAGCTGTTCTTATTCTGGTTTCGTACTCAGCATTTCAAAATACATCTGAAATAAGCACCGTAAACAAGAAATATGTATTGTTATATCCCAGGGATATTTCTTGAAAAACTAACATTTGCGTACTAAACGTGGCAACGCTGTGGTGGCAAATTAAGAACAGCTGGGCTGATTTCTGGTGTTTTATGCTGCGACTTTGTGCAATTGAGGGGAAGCTTTATTTTGATTTTGCTCATGTTTTCATGTTTACGTGTGTTTTCCATAATATTGTCATACAGTTTTGAGGATTTTGAAACATTTCAATGGAATATGGATATTTTGGTCTATTCTCGAAGATGGTGAGATGTTGCATGTTATGTAAAAAGCAGCTTAAGCGCGATAAAAGCAAATTTCTACTAGGGGAAAAGTATACAATTTTCGTTCAAGGTCAAATTTTGTGTAAACAATAATCTGTTGATATTGCTAACAAACAATCGTTTAACATCATATGGGCTTGGCTTCTTCTAACCTAGTCCGAATTCGTTGAGACCAACATACTCCTTTTTATTATTGATTCAAACAAACTACACTAGATAATATCGAAATATTATCATTTTACGGTCGCATGGCATGATGCGTGGCAACGCCGACTTCTTCTCAACACCAAAACCGTTTTATCGTTGTACTAGAGGAATTTGCATGCGATTTTCTCCGCTGAAATGACGGCAGTTTTTGACACTGACAGGAGAGTTTCATAGCTGATTGTTATACAGGCTGTGGTTAGTGTGGTTGTGGTTGTTATAGTGTTGTTTGTCGCCATGTCGCTCAGAGTAAATCCACAGAGCGAAATGCGCTCAGTAATTCAGATCTTAAGTGCAAAAAAGATCTTCCGTCGGTGACAAACGTAACACCCCTTCGCGTCACCCAAGTATGCGCACTGTCTTTTGATTATGTGTAACGAAACCCAGCAGAGGAATTCGCTTCCCTACACTGTTTCATCGCGACTAGAACTACGTAAGGTTTTCAAAGAACACGACTTTTGTATTTAACCATAACTTTATTTCACAAAATCGTACAAACATGCTAAAATATATAAACCTCTGCAATATAAATATATGTATACATATTTGTTAATAAAATGCTAACGTTAGAGAAAACAGGTGGTTCATTTTAATTACAAAACGAGCAATCAATAATAATACTTTATTATAAATGTAACATGCCGTCATAACGTCTTTATTTACATACTTGTGAGATAGTGTAGGTAGACATCTCATTATTTATCCAGTGTTTTGGGTCAAAATCGCTTCAGAAAAATGCCACAAACAACTTTGGAATCACGTAAGCCACGTCGAAAGTTGTTACATATCCAAAGTAACGTTCATGCGACGTATTCTGAACGTTTTGTTCCAACGCGTTACATTACGTTACATACGTCAGTATGCTCAAATGTTGTTCTGGCGCTTCCCAAGGATGACAAAAGAGACCTAACCGTTGCACTCGAACATTCTCATAACGTCAGAAAAACGTTTGTTATAATTATAAGTGTTTATGAGTCACTGGATTGATAATGGATGAGAAACCACTTCTCTCACGTTCAACTCCAAAACAATTATCATAGTTTGTCGGGCATTGAGGTAACGGTTTCGTGGATCGCCTTCGCGACATACTCCACATTTGAAGGGGTTACACCGCACATGCTGATTCGGCCAGACTTCAACATGTACACGTGGTGTTTCTTCACCATATTTTCAGATTGTAGCTCTGAAAAAGAGAAATAGCTATTAACAAGTAGTTTCACAACAAACTGCCTGGTAAAGTAGAAGTACTGCTTAAACGATTCCACCAAAAGGTACCAGACACATTTAAAAGCCTGCCTGAGGTCGCAAAATTAGTTAAAGAAAACCTTCTAAGTACTTAAAAGCAAACAGGAGAGACTCTAAAGATATACTCAGTGGTATTAGAAATGCTACACGCAGAAAAGATAATTTCTTCAACTTTTTGGCAACATAATTACTATATTTGAAGCATGGTGTGGCAGTAATGTCAACGCTTTACCTTTGTTGTTGTTAAAATGTTATCTCTTAGTTTCTGTGAAGAAAGCAGTATCTGAGAGCCGAGTAGTACAGATACGTTTAGTTATTGCCCTTTCATTTACTAGTGTTAAGCATAACAAAATGCCTCAGGTCCAAGAGTCCAAATTATCACCATGTTAGCGACTTTGACAGGGGTAGAATTATTGCCTATCGAGGTGCTGGTTTGTCGTATCGCGAAATTGACCGGCGTGTGAATTGTACTGCAATGACGGTAACGCGTGTGTGTCGTTTGTGGACAGAAGGTAGAGGAACACGAAAAAGGTCAACTGGTCCACCGAAACGTACCACAGACCATCAAGAAAGGCGCTTCAGACAACTAGGCCCTACGAGGCCGTTTTGCTACTATGCGTCGGATTGCTGACCAATGGATTGGAGAAGGTAGACCTGTTACTATGCGTACACTCTATCGCCGCATGCAAGCCTTTGGACTTTTTTCATACTGTCCACGGTTAGTGCTTCCTCTGACTGCGGACCACTGTCGTCAAAGGTTCAACTGAAGCAAAGAACGGCAACATTTGGAAGTAGAATGGTATAATGTCATTTTCAGCGACGAATCGGGATTCTGTCTAGGTACACACGATGGTCGTAGAAGAAGACGCCGCCGTAAGGAACAACGTGATATTGGATTTGCTGTTGAGAGGCATGTACACGGGACTGTTGGAGGAATGGTAGCCGATCACCCCTTCTCTCTGTTCAAGACAATATAACTGCTACGCGTTATCTAGACGGCCATCCGCACGTCCTTTTCCAACAAGACAACGCACATCCCCATAATGATCGTCGTACTGCGGACTTTATTCAAGAAGCAGGCGTTAATGTTTTGCCCAGGCCACCCCGGTAACCAGATTTAAATCCCATCGAACAAGTGTTTGATATGATGGGGAGGTGACTATCCACACGCCATTTAGTGCAATGGAAGCTCTGCTGGATCTCCCGCCATTAGATCTAGTGATCCGCGGAGAGGCGAGAGTAGTCGTTCATCGACTGTGGAGCCAGGGCAGCTGGGCCTTCTTGAATCCTGTCAAGGGTCATACTGCCATCCTGGTCGAACTGCAAAGGGAAGATCCTGTCCTTCTGAGCGGGCGATGTAATTACCCCTAAGTATCGCTTCAACCGCATGTGTAATATGGAGTATCCAACGAGGGAGGAGTGGGACGCCGGCTACCGGAGGCTCACTGGAGTGAGTGGGCAAGTCTGGTACACGGACGGCTCGGTCACCGAAGTGGGCTTCGCGCCAGAGTCTCGGGGCCTAGGAGTAGGGTATCTCTGCCTCTTGGTGGATACACCTCGATTTTCCAGGCGGAAACCGTTGCGATTCTGGCTTGTGTATCCCTCATTTTGGAGGGGGTGGGCCTAGGAGAAGGATAACAATCTTCTCCCACAGCCAGGCTGCAATAAAGGCACTAAATGCCTGTACTTCGAGCCTTGTGTTTCAATGCAGGGAGGCTCTGGATTTTCTAGCAGCGTGGCATCCGGTATCGCTAGTGTGGGTACCGGGGCACGCTGAGATAAAGGGCAATGAGACGGCGAACGCTCTGGCGAAGACAGGATCAGCCAGCAAGCTCGTTGATCCTGAGCCAGCTTTGGGGGGGCCCGCACTAAGAGTTAGGAGGAAAATGGAGAAGTGGATTGCAACACAACACTCTCAGAAATGGAAAAGCATCACCAGACATCTACGTCAGGCACGGGAACTCATTGCAGGGCCCAACGCTAAGGATTGACGTTTCTGCTTATCTTTGGATAGAGCCAATCTAAGGTTGCTGGTGGGACTGTTGTCTAGCCATAACACGTTAAGGCGCCACCTACATGTGATGGGGGTGGCTGAGGATCCCTTGTGTGAGCGCTGCGGGGTAGAAGAAGAGACCTTGGCGCACGTTCTATGTCGCTGCGAGGCTATTAGCTACTACAGGCAGACTAAACTGGGGTCCATCACCTTGGACCCCCAGGACATCAAGGAGCTTGGACTCAAGGCCATACTCAACTTTGCTAGAATGGCGAGGCTTGAGGTCTAAGAAATGTGGAGGTGCACAAGGGCCCGTTTATGTGGCCTATGCCCTGGCTCCTAATGGTGGCCGGTATGCCTCTAATTTCGTGTTTTCATTCATCCACTTTGCACCATCTGCCACAGGCACGAAGTTTGAGTTGCTTGGAATGAGGTGCCACAACTAGACATCGATTATCTGATTTTGTCGATACCTAGACGTATATAGGAATGTATCCAGCTGCGGGGTCGTCGATCACATTATCAATTTATTTTCTTATTACTTGTTAATAAAATTTCGTGAGAATGTTATCGTTGTTCATTCTTGATGTAAGACTACCTCATTGCCAAAAAATCAAGTTCACGAAATTCTTTTTTCTGTATGTAACACGTCTAATGTCAGTTAGTTTATCTACATGGGTGGTGAATAAAATTTTACATCAGTGTGATGCGTTCTGATTTTTGATAAAGATTTAAAATTATAACTATGTACACTTGTACCTCCACAAGTCGGCAGATGAGCGGATCGTGTCGGACGGTGCAAAAAATGATATCAAAGTCTAGATCGGGAGAATCCACGGAGGTTTTTTCAATAATGTAACTGGTAATTAAACATGGCTGTATTATTTTGACGTGCTAGCAGTCTCAAAGTCGTGTATGAGTGTTTGAAGACGATGACTATCCGATGATGCCCAAGTGGACAGGATCGGTTAAAAATGAATGTTGATTGTGACCAGTCACTTAGAAGCTCAATGAATTATTACAGCAAACTGGTATATTGAATTCCGCCTATGGCCTTTGTTCAGTGTACTCAAAGATTTAAATCCGAAAAGTCAAATACGGACCTGGCAGCTGCATCACGACCATGCACCGGCTGATCGAGATGAGCAAACGACTGACTTTATCAAGTCTGTCTTGTGTGAAATTTGTATGTACCACTTTGACCGTGTTAAAAAAAGGCCTGCCATCTTAATCGAACTGCAAAGGGAGGATCCTATCCTTCGAGCAGAGGTGATCTGATCACCCCTAAATATCGGTTCAACCGCAAGTTAAATGTGGAGTATCCAACGAGGGACTCTGGTAGCCGGAAGGTCTCCGGAGGGACGAGGGAGTGGGCAGGTCTGGCACTCGGACGGCTCGGTCACTGAAGAGGGCCCTGGTGTCGCAATCTTTGGGCCTAGAAGTGGGCTATCTCTGCCTCACCACTATTTTCCAGGCGGAAATCTTTGCGATTCTGGCTTGCGTATCCCGCATTTTGGAGTGGGGAGGGCCTCTATTCAATACAGTCCAGATTTAGCACCAAGCGTAAAACGTAAATTGAAAGGACGGAAGTATTCTGATGATACACTGCTTCTGGCAGCGTGGGAAGAATGTCATTATACCAAAAAAAAATGGAAGCAATAGTTAGAATAAAGTTATGAGAAAATGAATACTATCGGTGTGTGCTGATGATTCCGTCAGTGTCTGTAGATGTCCATATACATCAATAATTACTGACGCCAAGGCTACACGGTCTAATAAATATTACACTCCAAAATAAATACTGACGAATTACAGTAAACGCTGTTCGCGTGACTTCGATTAAGAATACGAAATCTTAGGAATAATTACGGGGGAGATTTTGAGGAAATCCTTCCTTGGAAGTTTCGAGAATGAACAATTTTTGTTAAAGGAAAAATGAGTATTTTATTACTTCTAAGGAAATTACTGCGATCATACTTTCAAACGTGGCTGTGATTATAGAACTTTTATATAATCGTGCCAATGCGAAGCTTGGATTCTATAATACTAGTGATAAATCCTCTGATCGAAACTCACCATTTAAGCCAGTGTAAGAGAACATTCCAATTTGCTGCGTGATGTGGCGCCAATCTCCAGGGGTTCCTAACCTCTCAAGGTTATCTCTTAGCATTTTTCTCATTTCTTTTATCCTCGACGACATTGTTCGAATATTGTCCCTCCTGAAAACAAATTCCAGTGTCAAAGAATAAAAATCTATTTCAAAATGGCAGTTTCAGGAACTACTTCATGAAACCATGACTCACCATTGATTATACAAGTCTTTGTTGTTAAGGACATAAGAAATGATCCTAGCACCATGACTTGGAGGATTAGAGTACATCCCCCTTATTAGAAGTGTCAACTGCGACTTGACCTTTTGCACCAAATCCAGATTGTTCAAGACCACAGTCAAATTACCAACACGTTCATCTGCAAACAGAAATAAAAATGAATACCTCGTCAATAGCTCATAATAATTACATTCTGTTTTAATAAGAGCTACGTTGCGCAGTTTCTCTCCTCAAATATTCCATTACATGACCTTCTCACTCTATACAAGGCCCAGATAAGGCCTAGCCTCTAGTATTGCTCACACGTTTGGGGTACTGCCGCCCCCGATTACATTTATTTATGCTCGATGCTGTCCAGAGGAGGGTTGTCTGACTGATCGATGACTCTTATCTAACAGACAGTCTTGGGACCCTTTCGCACCGGCGGGCCGTCGGCGATCTAGCTCTCTTCTACCGCTACACCAACGGGCTTTGCTCCTCAGAGCTCTCTTCCATGATGCCGCCGCGCTATGTGCCTGCCAGACAGACCCGCCTGACTTTGGCCTCCCATCCTAATCGTGTTGAACTTCGTACATCCAGGACTGGCTGATACGACCGCTCCTTTGTCCCAAGGGTGACGAGATTGTGGAACAATCTACAAGAGGAAGCTTTTCCCAGTTCTACTAACCTTATGCAGTTCAAAAATCGGATTAACAAAATTTGTTTTGGATCATCATAGTAGCCGTGTCTCAGCATTTAGGCTTCTGCCTGCGCGGCTGCTTCGGTATTAAAAAAAAATAAACCACACAGTGTTGTAACATTACAGCTGTAAAACGTCGCAACAGTGGCATTAGAAATATTAGAAATAATCAGTATTGCCACTCTGTCGATGAATAGTGAATTTGAAACACGTTAAAACAATGCAAAATCAACACTTACTGTATAATCCAAAGTTTTTGGCGAAGCTCTGGGCACAAAACAGCTCAAAGCCTTTGTCAGCAAAACTTCTGACAGCTGCGGCATCTTTATCCAAGTCTCCCGAAGCAAAACCTTGATAGGCAGAATCAAAGAATGGGAATAGTCGACGTTCCTTCATAACCTAAATCACATGAGTGAGTAAAATTATTCAAAACTTGATCTCTAATGAACATCATTGAGAAGACTCCATGATTGTCAAGCCGCTAACTTTTATTGGAATTAAGATACATAGCAAGTATAAAATGGACAACATTCCAAAAGGGAAGAGGATTGGCACATCAATTTTTCACCTCCCCCTAAAAAGGTAGTTGAACATTTGTTCAACATCAACTAGATGGAGTAGTTAACATTTACACCAAATATTATGCTCAACACTATATATCTAACATGCTATGGTCAGAGTGTTAGTGGAACATAGTGTACCAATGCTATTAAATTAACGGATTCAATTCTTTGCAGCTGTAGTAGCACTTTTTCCGTCTCATTTCTGGAGTTTTGGATGGAATGTGCTTCAAAAAGTTCTAAATAACCGTTCAGTATACATGGTGCTATAAAACTGAAGCATTTTTTTTGAATTTGCACGTTGTATGAACTGGAATATTGAAACAAGCATTGTTGCGTAAAAAAACTTGGTGGAGTGATCATCTCTTCTCCAAAGAATTAAACAGATAACTGGGTAATTTATATTTTAAAACAGTATACAGTACAGTTCCAAACTGAAGCAATACACGGTACTTCGATTTTAAAGTATTTTCTCTCAGATAATAGCGGGTAATATTTTCTTGTTTATGTATATCTTGGAAATAGAATCTCGTGCAGCAGTTTTGCAATACTGATTTATATTAATTTTGTAATTCACTTCTTCCATAAGAAAGTTATGCTGTAGCACCATAGTCTAGATGAGTGACGACTAGTGCCTTGGTAAGTCTTAATTTTATATGTAGTTTAATTTGACGGCCAGACAATAATGGAGTCCTATCAACATGAAAACCACAAGTTAAGTTCGAGGTGTTACATGAAAATGATTGTTCTAACCACACTCTAATTGATTGAAATTTTTCATAACGATTATTTATTATAAATGACGTACTTCTCCAATCTTATCCCATTGCTCTGGAGTAGGATCACATCCTGTAGGATTGTGAGCGCAGGAATGTAAGATAATAACTGAACCTTCTGGAGCATTTCTCAAGTCTTCCAACATACCATGGATGTCCAAGCCACGGGTTTTAGGACACCAATATCTATATTCACGACCTTCTTCAAATCCGGCGTTTCTAAAGACCAGCTTGTGATTTTCTATAAAAATATGTGATAGCATGAGATTGAAATCTTAAAAGATGCTCTAAGCCCCAAGTCCCGATTTTACTATCTGGTGCGAAAAATTTGCAGCTAGGGCGCAGATTCGACAAATCAGAACACGTTTGTGAAGGAATGGATTTAATGAATATAGTCAATGTATTGTAAAATATGTCTCAAACCAGGGAAAATTATACAATTTGAGTTAGATATAGGCCCTTAATTGATTTATTAAATCAAAAACTCTTCATAAATCACCTGGTTTGGTTACAAGAACATATTTTTTCATTTGATCCCGGCCACAAAATTCGGCTAGATCAACTGGGTGTATAGCGAAATCGGACCTAAAGACCTAAAGATGTTTTTTCAGTGAAATCGTTAGCTTTAACCATAATCATTGAATGAGGAAACGAAAATTGAGATACAGCTCTTTGACACCTAAAGAACCAAGTACGTGAACACCAAATGAAGTATAGTGAAACTAACGCAAATGATTTCACAAACACTGTAGATAACGTCTTTTGACCCTAAAACTTATATAATATGTTAACTCACCCCATGTAGGATTGGAGTAGTAGAAAATCTTTTTTCCTAGGATTCTGTTGAGGAACTCGGCCCCTACTCTTAAGGACCCTGTGCCAGACAAACATTGGATGCCAAATGCCTGAAAACAGTTTGACTGAATGTCAGAAAAATACATTGCAAAAGTCGCAAGGGTTGTCTTTTCAAAACATTATATATGCATTAAATGCAAAAATAATAATCATTCCATTAAGAACCATTCTCAACAAAAGCATCTGTCAACCGCAACACGACGACAACACGACCAGACGTTATCGAAATAAGACAGCCCAAAACCACATCTATTACCAGAATCGACTACTGCGAGAGTGTGTAGCAGCTTTCGATTCGTTCTCCCAGAGGCCAAGTCTAGACCATGGTGATGAGTTGCCAAAAAGCACAAAATAGCTATTCATCGTTAGCCGTCCGTGGTCCGATGGACGCAAGCAGCAGCATGTTTGATAGTGTACTTGACTTATAAGTAATTTCTTACAGTATTAGACTTAGGAAAACTCAATATGTTTCAATTTTTAGAAGCGTAAGTCGGATATATAAGTCCAATTTAAAAAAAATATTTTTTATTTTTACTATGAGAAGGTGAAAGCACAATCAACCATGATGTCATACTAACTGCAATCGAAGAAACGTCATCCGCATGTCACTCGTGGACTAACGTTGTCTTCTTTCGATATTTCTAAAAAACTTCAAGGTAAAAAATCGTTGGATTCGTAAAAATAGAAAGCACAAATTTGCCGAAAATTGACACATTGGTAGTTGGTACTTTTTGCCTTCAACCCAGATTTCTGCTCTGCTGAGCTGAGGAACATTAAGACTCCTATGTAAGTACAGCGCATATGATATGATGATAGACATAAAACAGAAATCATTGAAAACAAAGCTCACGCGTCATAATCTCTGAATTATTTAATCTAATATTATATTCCATCTCACACATGTGCAAAGAGCAAAAGGTGATGATGCCGTAGGTTACCTCCAACGAGACGATACAATCTGCACAGTAAAATGTAAAATATGTCCCGAACATAAGGTATGCTCCAAGCAATACAGTGTTGCATATACATATTTATTTCGCTGGACACTGCAATCCATAACTTTAATGTGGTCTTTATCCATATGTTAATACATTCTCGGCCGATACAATAACGATAGTTACTATATCTTTCATGTAAACTAGCAGAAGTAATGTTTACATGTTAAAAAATCTGAGAGGCTAAGCTGCTGAGTTTTTTGGTGTTTTAGGTTTGAAAAATTATAGTATCAATTTCCTTGGTCTCATAGAATAAGACCTACTTGAACAAAAAATTTCAACTCCGGCTGTCAAATTCCATCGTGCCAACCTGGTTCTCCTTTCCGTTATATTGAACACATTTTCAATTCAAGTATAGAACTTTGATACATCAACAATATGGTATGTGTTTATGGGATTAGCCTCAAAATCAAAATCACAATACATACAAAAACCCAAAATGTACCGAGCAAGAATTTGTTGGGAGGTTGGCAGCACTGTGTACTGTCAGATAATCGATGAACTTGTGAATTGATGTGTTCCTGCTGTAAGAACGTCCCCGAAACTTGGCGCCTGGAGTACCAGTGGTGCTTTGACACGTTTGCCATGTGATTTTCACTTGGGGATATAATGTTCTGAGAGAAATCACACGTTTCACGGATAGAAAGCATCCCCCCGCTCTTTGAATCAAACCTACCCCTTTCTAATAATTAACTGTGATTTGGAAGTTTTTATCGTAAAAGTTGGATATCTGAGGGACTTTAGTGCGACCCATCTGGCAACGCTGTGCTTTGACAGATCCATCATATATGAACACTTTCTTAATAGTCCGAGAACCGCACGTGTATTAGGTATCTTGGAAAGGAGAAATGGAACTGGTTCGATACGTAACAAGTTTCACCTCTTTGACCCTGTTTATCTACTTGTCACGGGGGATAAGATAACAAGAAAAATCGGTGACAGGGTAAAGTGAGATTAAGTGGATTTTGATTTCTGACAGCTCATTAGCTGACCATCTAGAGATGAGAAAATATGTATTCATCCTGACAAATCACTGTTACTTGGCTTTGTGAAACGTAGCTCTACTGAAATGTATACGTTGCAGGCAGTGATGGACATTACTGATAATGACCGACACGGATATTACGTATCTTGAAAAGTAACTTTTCGTCGTTTTCTTTTTGACATTTCGTAGGTTTTCTTGTGACATAACGTAGGTTTTTCTACAAAATGTTAACATAGCACAAGTTGTTCTACACTTGTTGTGAGCTCGTTTTGTAGCTGTACATGTTGCTTAAACGTCAGCGAACCACGATCATAGCGAGCAAACGTGGAATGAACTATTTGCACACTCAAAATTACCTAGTTTGCAAGATGACATTTTATCGGTTTTTTAGGTCTTTTAAATGCGGGCCGCTGAATCTGAAGGTATCTGTTTTTTGATAAAACTTGATTTTTACGAATGATAGATTTTACAACAGATCACAGCAGGATTGCCTGCTTCATTTATAAAAATTAAGTTTTATCAAAAAACAGATACCTTCAAATTCAAGTGGCGGATGCGCAGTAGCTGGTACTCGCTTCGATCACTGCGCCCTCAGTCAGGCATCAAGACGTTTTTTGCCCATTTCGCCGGTTCTCCTGGTATACATATACGCTCCATAAATGTAAACACCGTAAAACATAATCAGGATGACCTTGAAGAAATCCATCTGAATAAATTCGTGAAGAAACTGGTGATGTGAAACGCGTATCAGATAATGTGCTTGACAAATTTGTGAAAATCGCAAATCAGTGTCATAACTTACTTTAATATGTTTGCATGAAAGTGATTATATTATGTTAAAAAAAAATCACTAGTTAGAACTCATTTTATAACAGGATTTTTTCGGTACACATAACTTGCTATGTAAACGGCTTGCTACCAGGGCTTGGCCTAGACAGAAGTAGTTGCATCAAACTCCCCATTTGAAACCCCCCCCCCCCCTATGCATTGCTCCAATTGACCTAGCTCAAGATAATGTGTGCCATGTCAGATAACAGCGTCTAACAGGGCCTCGAATACCCCGCTTTAACGGGGCCCAGAGCAGATAAAATTTGATTTTTAAAATCTTCGTGTTTTGCGCTCGCCAGTTGCTTTCAGTGAAAATAGTATCTTCCTTATCTTGCTTCAACCTTACCCTATTGTCAATCACGGCCGAATTGTTTGGGCCCAACAGCATTTTTGTAGCTGCAATGGTGAAGGATTCTAGTCCAAGGACAGGCAGGTACTCTTTGTTCAATGATTCGTCATTGGCTAATGCTTGTTCTGCGGTTCTCACTACAGGCAGTACCCATGGTTTGCCCTCATTTGTTCGATACGCTGAAGTTATAAAAACTAGATATTATTCAAATAAATAATATAGACAATCAATTGCATTGACTCTTCTTTATTATCAAACAACAAAGCATCCATGTTTGTTTATTGAATATTATTTTCCAATATCGATTTTTCAAATCCAATTGATTGAAATATTCTACCTAAGCATAGCCAACCATATACGGGTTGGCCATATTCGACGAAAAGATTTTTTTTTAATGATAGGAAAAAACACATTTTTTCTGTTCATTTCAAAAATCGTTTATTTCGGTTCAAAGAGTTTTGTGAACATCATTTTTTGAAAACGATATCTCTTAAATGACTGCCATGAGTGCGTCTAGGGTCCTTGGCTTGTTTACATAAACCTTCGATTTCAAGTAGCCCCACAAAAAAAAAGCTGGAGTCGTTATATCTGGTGAACGCGGTGGCCAGTCAAAATCACCATTTTTCGACATCAGACATCAGGGAACAATCGTATCAAAAAATCGATAGTAGCTCGAGCTGTGTGTGGTGGAGCGCCATCTTGTTGGAACCAGAAATGCTCCATACCATCGTCACGAACAATTGGCATTAAAAAATCGGTTACCATATCGCGATAACGGTCCCGATTGACGGTAACCGCTTTGCCAGCTTCATCTTCGAAAAACAACGGCCCAATGACCATACCAGCACAAATACCGCACCAATCAGTCACTTTTTAGTCACAAAGAGGTACCTCGCGAATAATTTGAGGATTTTCAGTACCATAGAACCGACAATTTTGTTTGTTTACGGCTCCGGTTAACATGAAATGGCAGGTAACAGGTTTTGCGTCAGTTGAATTTTGTATGGGAACAAATGCAAATCATGACGCAATATGCGACGTAAGTGGTTCGTTTTATGCCCAACTGCTCAGATCGACGTGTTTGAGATGTTGTTGGAGACCTATGAACACTGGTCCGTACGAGTGCGATATTTTCATCCGATTCGCCTTGGTCGTTTTTTATTTGGATGCTTGGGATTAGTAAGTGCCTCACATGATGAAAATCTTTCATACAAACGATACAATGTAGTCGCGGAAGGCGCAATTTTCACTTTATTTATTTTTCTCCATGTACGTTGAGTTTTCACAATTGACTTGTTTTGTTGAATGTAAATTTCAACAATCTGAGAGCGTTCGCGTGGAGTGTACTGCTCCATTGCAAAAATCTCCTTAGACTGATGCTTCAAACGCGCTACGTCATTACTCGATCTGTCACCTCTGACAAAAGTTACAGTGTTGCCACATCTTTTCGTCGAATATGGCCAACCCTATATAATATATATTCTGGCAGAGCCACCTTCAACTAACGAGCCATGAAGAGAAAAAGGCAACACCGCATCATGACATTTTGGGGTCCGGCCGTCCAGCTGGTGTGTGCCGTTATTAAGGCGCGTTTTCACGGGTCGATCTGAGTCGAACAATTTGTGTCGAACATTGAATCGAAAGCAAAGTGGTGTCGTTTTTATTTTTGGTCAACATACATCGCCTATCGTGTAAACCTTTTTGCTTTCAACTCAGATCGAACCATGGTCGAATAACCAGGTGGTTCAACTTAGATCGACCCGTGAATACGCGCTTTTACAGAAACTTCGATTCGAGCATTTTTTTGATGAATCTCAAATTTACGAGTACAAAGTACAAAACAATTTCACTAAACATAAGTTCACAATCGAAATTACAGAATGTGAATACTCTATGCGAACCCTAGGGAGGGAAATTCACAAGAATACTAATTATGTAGTGCTTCTTATAACTAAGTGGTTTGCTGGCAGACGTATACAGGAGTAGAATCGTACTTGAGATGTATAAATGAGGTATTGCATTACCACACCAAGTTACCAATTTATATCGGGAGGTTTTGCCAAGAGCCATATATCTGTGGTACTAAGGCAAAACCCAATATGTCAAAAAATATTGATTTTTTGTTTTTAATGTCAATATGTACACCAAATGACGAAGTATTCTATGGCAAGACCCGATATAATTTATAAAATTTCCGTAACACTCTAAATTAATGTTATTTTTTTAAGGAGGAGCTTAAAATTTAAAAAAAAATTGGAATTACTAAAAAGATTATATTCAGAATAAAGATTAGAAATAAATAAAATACATAACTGGAAACAAAACAAAAAAACAGTGTACAAACTAAAAACAACGATAACTGAAAATTAAATAATAAGAGAAAATAAAATAATTGTAACAAAATAATAACTAAAAGGATATTAAAAAAGATATTGCACATTTTATATATCATTCACACATTGAAGGTGCTCAGCTTTCTCCGCTTTTGCAAATCAAAGCTTGTGACTGGGGATTCAGTTACACTATTACGGTTGGCCCGAGAAGTAGATACATTTTGTTTAAGGTTTGCTTTGTCAATTAATTTTGTATTATTTTTAAATTTAACATAATCATTTAAAACAATATTTGAAAAAATTGATAGGAGGTTTAATAGGATATCTCTATAATTATTCCCACATAAGCAAGTTTGAGAAAATTCCTCATAAAAAAGGTCTGATTCTATACTTTGCAAGGTTAGATGACATAAAATATTTTTCTGCTGAGTACTATGTAAAAACTCATTTTCTAGTCTATCTATGTTTATTATAAATTCGAAAATGGCATACATGTGGTAAAAAATAATATTGACATATTCAGTTGGAATAGACAGTCCTCCTCTTTGCAAATAATTAAAATATTCACCTCCAAAATTTGTTCCTTTTTCCTTTACAATGAGTGAAACGCATATGGGACAATTAAGTTTTTTAGAAATACTATGTGAGGCATAACCAGAAATGTACATCTTAGTATCGTCTTCTAAATCACAATTTGATAAATAATTGCTACAAAAGATTTCTGAGAATATATCAAAACTTTTGTCAGGATCTAAATTTTCACTACTTCCTGGTGTACATGATAGATTTTGAAATTTGTTCTTGATTTCTGTGAATGAAAATGATTGTGATGGTGATTTAATAATGTGTTTGAGTCTGATCTTCTTCTCAGAATGGATGACATCATCACAGGAAACATTATAATTGCAACCACTTAAAAGACGACAATTACCAAACCGTTTTTCTAAAGCATCATTGGAAAATTTACCAACTAAAATATAGGAAACAGGAAACTTCTGGAAGGAGTGTTCTATGATTTTTAAAATGACTGTAGTTGTTAAATACAAAGCAGTGAAAGTCTCATTTGTCAAGCGGCCATTGTTGTTTGGAATACTGTTCCATTGCTCGAGCCAAATCAGAAATTTTCTCAGATATTGGCACCGGAAGTCATCTACACTAGAAACAGGCTTTGAAAATTCATTTAACTTACATACACCCTTAATGCAACTTTTATTATTCATAACATCCCACCAATTTCTGATGATATCTAAAAATCCTGCAGTTTCTGTGAAGCCAAAATCTTTAAGAGCTGCTATAGTTGAATGGTGGAATAAGTTATCTGCAAGATGTACCTTTTGTCTATCAAAATTATTTGGGTGTATTGTTTTTTCATTTAATTTGAAAGCTTTCTTAACTACGGAATGTTTTTCTAAATTATACACATTATTGACTTCATGAAACTTGGCATGCTGTGCTTCTCCAGTCTCAAAATGTGGGTAAACAAATGTCTTATCAAGGTTCTTTAGGTTGATCCAATTGTTACGGATATTTTTGAAAAGATGAACAAAATCAAACAACAAAAATATTTTGTTGTCTGGTAAAGATGGACTATGGAAGTATTCTGGAAAACCTGTATTTGGGTTTATATAATTGTTGGATGAACATTCTGACAATTTTTTAAACATAGCTCTATTTATCCTATGATTATCAGATATGATACATAAAACTTTAAAGCCTGATGTTTCAATAATATTAAGAATATTTTTGACAGGTGGTACTAACTGATCCCCAGTTAAATTGTGTACAGGCAACAATCTAACAATTTCAGAGAAGTCACCAAAAGGAGAAGCTACCATAAAAGCTAGTATAGTTTTTGCTACTTCATTGGCATTAGATGCATAGCCTACTATATTTTTTGACCTAAAATCCAATCTGGCGTTAATGTGAATTTCATCAATTAGCAGAATTACAATTTTTTCTCTTTCCGATAGATTCAATCCCATATTTGCCAAATAATGTTGGTTGTTAGAGTCACTGTTGGGTGCGAGGTTCATACTTGAAGAGATATGCTGCAAATACCTTTTGCTAGGCAGAATTAAAAAATCTTTGATTACATGGTAGGTAGCAGGAGACTGATTATAGAATATAAATGACATAACAATTGTGAGTGAAGAATAACTATTTTTCTTATTTTGAATTTGTTTGAGCTGGTCAATTAAAACTTCTAGATTTTTAAAATGAGGGAAAGGTACTGACACATGATTTATTACTCTAACAGCATGTTCTAGATTCTCAATCCCTTTGTGAATATGACTATAGGCTAAATTTATATTTTCTAGTGTTTCTGTATTATCAAAATAAAACCTATACCTACTCAGTAAGTTTTCTAATTGAGACCATCTAGAGAGCTTCAAGTCAAATGGGAGCCCCCATTTCAAATCATTACATGAGAGAGGATCCCCTTTATTAAATACCTTAGTTTCTAATGAACTGTCTATTATAATTTGCGTATTCAAAACTAAAATTTCACTGATTGTTTCTAATTTATAAAAATAAATTTTGTCATTAGTCTTCTTCACCAACCAATGTTCAGGGATTTTAATCATTTTAGAATAGTTTTCCAATAAATCTGAGAATCCTGTAATTTTGTCTTTTTCCTGAAATTCTGAAACCAAATTCTCATGCCTTTGAAGGATCTTATCTTGTCTGATGGCAGGATCTGTTCTACTAGAAACTTGACGCTTACTTAGATAAGATGGAACATTTGGAAAGACTGATGGAACAGCACCTTCTGAAAGTTTTGGACGACTCAGTGTGACAGTGTTAGCTGATCCATCCTGCAGAACATAAGTTTCAGTATGGACAATTTCTGCTTGTTGAAAATGTGCATCACAAACAACAGAATCTTTAGAAGGCGACCAGTCCTTTCTTGGTATTGAAGCTAGCCACTTACTTTTCAACTCCTCATTTTTTGGAAATCGAAACACTGACCTGTAGTGTGTCGATCTCAATTCTGCCTCGTAGTTTCCCTTGCAGCCTGGTACACAGCAACGCTTAGGCATATTACTTAAAAGAAAAGATGTACCCACTCGAATCTACACACTATACAGACGTTTCTAACAAGCACCGATTCACACACATTTTAAACACATCAAAGCACGATTTTATACTACCTAAAATAAATACTTTCTGCACGGTTTGAAGAGCAAAACTAAGTAGATTACTCTGGTTTGTATGAATTGCACTGTTCCCAGAGATTTACAACAAAATTGCACCAAAAAGTCGGAGGTTAGGAATATAAACAAACGAAAAGCCCGGCAAACACCTGTCTGTGGAAGACCCCAAAGCTGCGTTGCCATATCTACTGTTCATGGCTCGTTAGTTGAAGGTGGCGCTGATTCTGGCATTCCTGAGTACATAGGTGTGTAGATGATGATTATGAATTATGCATATCTGTTTATAATACTATAATAACTCTTGACTTGCTGTCTATGAGTTCCCAGCAGATAATCAGCAATACAGATATAATAATCATTATATAATTTTGATTGGAAAAGAACTGATAAATCCAAGATTTTGCTATTGAAATGACTTGTAATGAGCAACAAAATACAATGCTTGAATAAAACTTTGCTGACCTTGTAATCATAAATATTAACCCATTGTTGATAAGTTAACATTATTATATATTACAAACCTCTGCATGTCAAATAATACAAAATAGAAAGGCAATAAATTCAGCACAACAGCAGTGGTGGTCAAAGATCAGCAATTATGAAAGTATGATTATAACAATATGTTTCTCAATTTCTCAAGTGTTATTGAAAACAAAATGTTTTCCCAAGATGGAAAACAATAATTCATAAAGGTGGCTATTATAAAATTTTAAATGATACTATTATTTTTTAGCCAATCTTTTCCTAACAGTTTAACTAGTTTCATTACTATTATGGACTGAATTTGAAATGTGATTCAATAAAAAATTCTTAAAAATTATTTCTTTAATTCTATCATCATAATGATTCTAACTACTGTATATCAGCTTGTTCATCTACCTAGTTGCCTATTAGTAAAACAAGTCAACTTTATCTTTTATTACAATAAAAAATAATTGCCTGTCTAATGGAACTGATAAATGACATTAGTATGCTGAAAGTTTATATTTCAGTTCTACAGACCTAGATATAATAATTTACGAAATAAACTAGAAAGTGAAAGCTCCTACATAGTCATTTATCAATAAATTGTCTTGAACTTTCTACACTCTCCTTCAATTCCTGTACTGCTAAAATGGCACAAACAGCACCTCCACGAACCCAAATCAAATCATAATTCAAGCAAAGCTCAAGCTCGTGATTGCAGATTTAAATAGATAAATATGTACCTCCAACGCCAAGACTAACTTTGTTCGGGTAGTTGTCATCGTTATAGAGTTTGTTCATGAGGAAAACCTCGATAGGGGGCCCCAATTCAACGGTGTCAAACCACGACATGGTTGGTATTGTATCTACGGTATCTGAAAAAAAATATTAACAAACTAAGCACGTCAGTTATGTGAAATTCGCCGGGATAAATGGAACTGGTTCGATGCTTAACAAGTTTCACCTTTTTGACCCTGTTTATCGGCTTGAATGTCAAGTGGATAAGATAACAAGAAAAATCGGTGACAGGGCAAAGTGAGGTTAAGTGGGTTTTGATTTCTGACAGCTCATCAGCTGATCGTCTAGAGATGAGAAAATATGTATTTGCCGTGAAAAATCACTGTTACTTGAATTTGTGAATCGTAGGTAAATGTATATGTTGCAGACATTGATGAGCATTATCGTTAATGACCAGGAATTGACTCAACTGCCATTGTGAAGGACAGTGCAAAGTTGATAACAGCAAGTACATGTAGGGAAAATGTTCGTAGTAAATAATATTAAAACGCATAACCTGGAATTGACACTTAAATCTCAGCAATAAAGCTGTT